GCGAAGACAGCCTTTCTCGGATCGTCGCAGCTGGAAGACGAGTGTCGTCGAGAGGGAAGGGCAACGATGATCGCGAGTGTCCGGTGACGAAACGTGTTCCTGGTCGTTTCTTCTTACGCTTCGAAAACTTTCAAAGGTTGCTCGCGCGTCCAACGTGGCCGATCACGTTCGATCGCGTCCGACTTGGTCTCTGTCTCGCATCGTTCACCGGGGACGCTGACGCAGAGGAGAAACGAGAAATCGTCAACATGTGGATCAAACTCGTTCTTTTGTAAGTACCGTATGTACCGTATATATTTCAAGATCCTTGAACTCTGACATTCGAGGGAGAGGCAAGTGATCTGGTCGAATCGTTTCGCGATCACGTTCGCACCACCTCGAAAATTCTTTCGCAACCGGTCGCGCTCGAGAACGCGCTCTCGTTTTCGTCTTCGTTCGTTTTCATTTTCAACGAGTTTTCGTTCGTCGCCGCTTCTTTTCTTTTCTTTTCTTTCCTTTTCCCCTGCCAAGCTTGGCAAACGAAAATTTCAAGTACGAGAGAGAGAGAGAGAGAGAGAGAGAGGTAAAATTTCCTGCTTGACAAGTAGTCTATCGACAAACGCAGACGTCGATAGAAAATTCCGCTCTGATTTGCAAAGGCAAAGGCCTGCGAACATTTCTGCGTGAATCTCGTGGAAAATTGCTTTGAAAATGTGAGAACTTCATCTTTCTCTCCCCCTTCCGCCCCCCTCCTCCTCTTCCTCCTCCTCCTCCCCGGGCTCGACGTCTCGCATCCCGTTTGCGCAACAGTGAAAAACAGGTTAAATAGAAAGTTAAATCTCTCGGTTACATCCTCGAACATTTGCGAAGCTACTTAACACGCGCGCGTGAAATTACGCTTGACGGGGCGAGAGGAAAAAGTATTTGCCGATTTTCAAATAGGCTTTCACGGTACATGCTGCGCGTTACGTAACAACCGGCCGAGTTGTCTCGTGCCGATACTCTCGGTGTACACGTTGTATATGCCTACGTAGATACGTTTGCGAGCGAGACAGCTTTCTCCATATGGAATCACGTTGAATTCCATTCTTGTGCTTGCGCCTCGACAGCTCAACCTTCGAATTTCCCCCCTCGTGGAAGCCAAGCATCCTCCCATGCTCCTTTCCAGTCTCTCCCATCTCTTTTTTTTCCCGCCTTTCCCCCCCCACCCCCCACCCCCCACCCCCTCCAACTCGCAAGTCCAAAGACGAACGATTTTTATAGATACTGTTCGCTCGAAGGAAAGTGTCGCAGGTCGATCGATGGATGACAAGATGTGAGAACACGGGGCTGAAAAATAAATAAATTTTTCGCTTCTCGCGAGGACAATTTGCTGCGGGTCGATCGATCGATCGAGAGACGGGATATATATACATCGTTCCTTTCGATCGCGTTGGCAAATGTCGCGGTCTGAACTGTTCGAAACCGGCATCGACTTTCTATCGGACGGAAAAACGTACAACGTCGAAGCGCGTACAATGGAAAAAGTATGCAAATATTTCGCACGATTGTTGTTGTTTGCACGAAACTTGGTCTTTGTAATACTTTGCGGCGAGTTGTCGTCGTCGATGGTCGAACGACAATTTATTTCTATCCTTTTTCTCTTTAGTTTCATTATTTATAGTCGCAGCTAGCAGTCGCTTACTAGCAGTCTGGGTTACTAACGCCGACTCGGGCAAAGGGTGAATCTTACAATCGACTGTCAATGATCTCTTTCACTTTCAAATCTGCGAAAATGCAGGAGGAAAACGCGTACAAATCCGTTCGTTCGATCTGCTTGCAAATTCCCCGTGGTCGGCGAATGTGATCGATGGTGACCGATCGACCTTGCCGACAACTCGTTTCCTCGTAGCTCCTCTTTTATCCCTCTTCCCTCGTATCTCGAATTCTCGTTCAACTTGCGCGCACGTGTATCTAATCTGCTCTCGCGAAAAATACGAATAATAATCGCAGCAATCGGTCGTTCCTTCTTGATCGTCGCCTCATTTGGCGATCAACTCGGTTTGCCGTTCGTACAATCTGACAGTACGAGAAGAAGATCGATTTACGTTGATCAAATCCTTGACGTGGATTTACCTCGGAAGAGAAGGAACAAACGAATCGTTTCGAATTTTTCGGGGCCTTTCGGCGAATCCGAGCAAACAACCTTGAGCCAAAGGGGGACGAGGTCGCGCTCGTACTTCTCAGGCACGCTACTACTAGACGACCTTGACTTTTTCTTTCAATTAAATTATTCGCGCGTCACAGAAATCCGTTCTTTCTCGAGTGGAATCTCCAATGGCTTATTTTGTACTTCTCTCTCTTTCTCTCTCTCTCTCTCTCTCTCTCTCTCTTGCAAACTGCCCTTGTGTTTTTACAATTTTACGAAAAACTCAGGCGGATGGAACGTAGGGACGCGTCGAGTCTGAATATTCTTGGGAATCAACGTATATTCCCGATGTCTCGTGGCTCCTTTGAGATGCGAGCCTTTCTCACGCGTCGCTCGCGTTATACAGTCTCTCGGCGTTAAGAGAGTTTATCGAGAGTTGTTCAAAGGATCGAAAAGAACGAGGCAAGTCGGCTCGGCAGCTTCCAGCTCACCGACCAGACACGAACTTTCACTATGCCTTCTCGCGTGGGTTTCTCGCGCGGGATAGCGCGCTCTTAGATTCTGCTCTCTTAGATCTCGCTGGTCCGCTGCATGCTAAATCGATTTGCCGTTTGATTAATCGTAACGCCAGGAATCAGTCGAAAACCGCAATCCCGCAAGCGCGTTTTTTTCATTGCCACGCTTCTCTTCTGCGCGTTCGACGCGTTGCAAACTTTCAATTTTCCTCTCTTCTGTCGATGGTAGAAACCCATAGTGTAATCTCTCTCTCTCTCTCTCTCTCTCTCTCTCTCTCTCTCTCTCTCTCTATTGTTACAAAATCTGCGATACTACGATTCCTAAAATTGCGATAAACTAAGATTTTTGATACTAAGATTCCTGACGAAGATAATCTACGATGATCACCCTTTCAATTTCAACGAGAAATCTCCACTTTCGACAGGGCTGTTTCTATCATTCCTGATTTTCTCATTTAGGATATCTTGCGTCGTGGCGAACGCGCTGGCGAACAATGGATCCGGGAGTAAAACAATGTCGGTGGAAGGTAACGTATCGAGAGGTAACGTTCGTCATCCGACGAATTCTCTTGCTTCATCTGCGACGTTGTTGGTTGTCGACAGAGTTCGTCACGTCTCACAGAGTACCGGCGAGCATCGCCAGACCGTCGGCGTACAACGACAACGGCGAGGACGACGACAACGACGGCGACGACGACGACGACGACGACGTTGTCGACGTGGAAAGAAAAACAATCGCGAAGAACGGCAAACACGCGAAGAAGGTTGCACCAAAGTTGGAGAGCTTCGACAAAAACCCGGCCAATCTCGAGCCGCCGCGACGTTTCGATTTCGTCGACGAAGACAGAGAGGACAACGCGGCAAAGCGGCAGGTTCGCGTCGAATTGGAAAACTTTGGCGACACCGGCGTGCTCCACGAGGGCGGTGTCCGTCGATCGGACGCGCACAGGTCGCGGCTGCAGGGTCAGCGAGACTCGCTGATCCCCGGAGTGCGCGTCAGGTGAGAAAACCTGCAAGCTTTTGCGCGACAAGTCTCGAGATTTTGCGGTTCCTTTCGGACGCGAAAAGAAAATGTATATCATCGTCGGTCGTTATTGGTACAATTATACTCTTCACTGTATATATATATATATATATATATATA